GTCGGCTGTGTGGGAATCTAAAGATTCAACCACTATGCCACATGCTGGCCTGTTTTGCCCTTTTTTAAAAAAAGAAAAAAAATAGAAACAAAGGGATAGAGAATGAGAAATCACTCCCCCTCCAAACCCTCCAGGGATGGCCATGCAACAATCCCTTCTCCTCTGTTCGCCTCTTGGAATTTTGGGTATGCACACAGACACATACGTACCTGATATGAGTTTTAAGCCACTGGGGTCCAGGACTCAAACTGTGGTCGACTATGTGGGAGTCCAGTGAGGTAACCATTATGCCATCTGCTGGTCCCCCATTTTGCCATTGTTAAAAATAAAAGAATTGAACGTTTTATGAATTTCTCTCTCTCTCTCTCTTATTTTTTAAAGAGTTTTGCTGGGACCAGCAGTTGGCATAATGGCTATGTTGCTAGACTCCCTTGTAGTCGACTGCGGTGGTTCAACTTGAACTCATGCTGGGCACATGTACGTGTGTGCCTAAGATCCCAAGAGGAGAATGTAGGAGAAGGGATTGCTGTGTGGCCATCACCCCTGATTTCTTGCTTTCTGTCTCTCTGTCTCTGTCTTTCTGGCTAGTACATATGCCCTCCAGCTAAAACCTCTGAAAAAAGTTCAAAGAGAAAAGAGTTTTGCTATAGGGAGTATGTGCTTGACAGAGAGACAGAAAACGAGGAATCACCCTTTGGGTGATGACTATGATTTGGCATGCATGCTGTCATGTGTCACAGCACCAAGGGGAGTTTTGGAAGGGGAGCGAGAGAGAGGGAGAGTTTAAGCATGACTTAATAAAGGTTCGATCCACCTTTTATAGGCTGCCCAAGCAGTTACAGCCAATCTGTGCTCTAGCCCGCGGAAGGAGGACAGGACTCAGGTTTGCCTTTCAAGTTACTTTAATCACACAGGGAAAAAAGGGGCTTACAAGTCAGGATGGGCCGAGCAAGTGCCCTATGCTGGCACGGGATGGGGTGTGCAGCCTGCAAGGGCGAGAGGGAGGGCGAGCGCCAAGTATGCTGGGCTTCTATTAGGCATAGGCCGGTGAGCGGAGATGAGCTCCGGGAAGATCTTAGAGAATGATGGTAGTGGCCACTAGGTGACTGAGGGCGAATGAGGAGGAAAAGTCCATCTGAGAGGTCTCAGATGCAGCGAGACGGGATCTGGCCCAAGCGGAGGACAGAGCCGAAGAGCTAGGCTCAGGCTCTTCTTTTTATGTCTAATTTTGATAGGCTCATGGTGACTTGAAAAAACATCAAAATATTTTTGTAACATTTTACATGTAAGTCTGTGGGATTTGGGTCAGAACAAAGTGGGATTTGTTTACATATTTTTGCCTGTCACGAGGGGGGGTGAAGCATAGACCATGCTTATGTCCCTTATGCATATGGCTAGTCTGCTATCAGCGATAAGCACTAGAGTGTGGGCTGAATGTTGAATTTCCAGGAACATAACTAATGCCAGTCCGAATGTACTACAAAATGGAGTCAGGTATGCTCTCAGCAAGCAGCGTTACAATCAAACGTTTTCTTCACAGCAAACTATTAATTTAGCCATTAAACAATATATCAAGTGTAACAATTCTTCATAGCAAGTAAAACAACATATTAGGTATAACACATGCTCATGTGCCTGGTGTGAGTTTTCAGCTGCTGGGTCTGGTTGGTACTCAAACCGCTGTTGACATGTGGGAATATCTTATGCCACCTGCTGGTCCCATGAATTTCTCTTAAATTTGAAATAGAAAGGCAGGCTAGACTGCACCCATTATTCTGGCACAAATCTTCATTATATTCATCTTTAATTATTAAACTTAGGTATAAAATGTTTTAACCCTATTAATAATTTTTACCTTTTTTGTTAAATTTGATTTAATGCTGCTAAAGTCTAAGTATTTGTAGTTTTAGTAGTCATATTTTGAATTGATATTTGCTAGTATAACTCAATCTTTTTTTGAGAATTGTTTATTTAATGTTATTTATCATCATCATTATTTTAAATTTACTGCAGGGCATGCACACTCACCAGAGAGACAGTGGCGGGGGGAGGGAAAGTGAGAAAGCAAGCCAGGAAGTCTGGGACTTGGACCACCATTGGCCATGTTGGAGTCTAGCACCTTAACCACTATGCCACCTGCTGGCCCCAATATAGTTCATTTTTATATTGGATGTTTTATGTTCGAGTTTTTATGTGATGTTGCTGTGAATCTTTAGATATACCTTGTCTAGTAAAAAAAAAAAAATTCTTGGAATAGAGAATCAGGATTAGTGGGTTGAGAGGATGCAAACATTTTCTGTATTCTTAATGTCTTGGTATTCTGGTTAGGTTCCTCTCAATGCAGAGTGAGACTCAGGTGAGTTCAAATTATAGAGGAGTTATGAAGAGACTCTCATGAAAATCCAAAGACAGGAAGCATATTTCCCCCAGACCTATATGGGAAACCATAACATCATCAGAGCATTTGAGGAATTGGTATTTCAGTTTGTGGGTTCTACCTGAGCATGTGCTTCTTTTCCTTTTTCTACAGGTGGATTTGCTCTGCTTGATCATACGTTCTGCTTTCCTGAGACATAGGTGCACTCAGGGTTGCAACTTGCTCATCAGACCATTCTGACTTTGGTTTGACCTCGTTTTTCAGCTTCTTTGGCTGCTGCTAGGTTCCTTAGCCTCTTCTTCCCTAAAGCAAAAATTTGAAGCGTTCCAACTCATTGTTATGTTCTTTTTCTCTCCCCCAATTTTCTAGACAAGTTGAGCAGACTGTGTATCCTATGGATGCTATATTTAAAAGCAAAAACAAGCAGAGCTCTGTTCTTCAAAAGCATTCTTGGTGACCAGTAACACTTAGACAGGCATCATAATATGCCTAACTAATTAAAAATCCGGGTAGTTCACATTAACATGAATTATTAAAGAAGAACAATTCTGTTTCAAGTTTCTTTTATAGAATTTGTTGGCACATTTTCCCCCTCTCAAGTTTTTAAAAGCCTTTCTTTGCAGGGCTGGCAGGTGGTATGGTGGTTAAGGGCACTGGACTCCCACATGGCTGACCATGGTTTGAGTCCTGTACCTGGTGGCTTGCTTTCTCACTTTCTCTCTCTCTCTGTCAAATTGGAAAAATAAGTAAATAAATAAAGTTATATAAAATAAATCTTTTTAAAAATTCCCAGGTTTATTTGTACATTAAAAGTTAATGTTAGGGTGGCATGGTGGTTTTAAAAAGGTGCCAAACTCCCACATGGCTGACTGTGGTTTGAGTGCCACACCTGGCGGCTTGCTTCCTCACTCGCTTACTCTCTCACTTGCCCTCTTTCTGTCTCTGGTGAACACATGTATCCTGTAGCAAATTAAAATAATAATAATGATAAATAAAATTAAATAATTTTTTAAAAAGTTAACTTTATTTTGCTTTATCCTAAGCATGTCCTGGGTTTAATTATATCTATATTACACACTTTGCCTTTTTATAAAACATATTAAAGATGACAGAAGATGGGGTCAGCAGGTGGCATGGTGGTTAAAGGGATTGGACTCCCACATGGCCGACCACTGTTAGAGTCCCTGACTTGGCGGCTTGCTTTCTCACTTTTCCTCTCCTTCTCTCTCTCACTGTGTCTCTCTCTGGTCAATTTAAAATAAATAAATGAATAAAGTTAAAATAAAATAATTCCTTAAAAAAAGAGATGACGTAAGAATATAGGGCATTTCATGTGACTTATAGATGTTGATAGGAATATCAGTGTCTAGAATCTAGACATGAGAATCATTTTTACTTTGATGCTTAGTTTTAGTAGATGAGTGACATAGTATCTATGAGAATACTTCAAAAAGTTATTAGAAGAATGAAATTAAAATGAGTTTATTTCAGTGCAAAAAATGGAAATTTATGCATAGCGTTTTTATATTATACATTTCCAAGAACTTTTTGAAGACCCCCTCTTATAGTCAAGGCAGATCTGTGTAGTCAGATCACCAGGGGTTAATCTGTAAGTAAGCCTGTGTTCTATTGATGGGCAAAACCTTTTTTTCTTTGTGAATTAAAAAAAAAAAATTAACATTTGAGTTAGGAGGGTGATGAATTTGATGTAGTAAGGGGTGCCTTGAAAAATACTGAGCATCTCATTTGTAATTTATTCAAATTCCAAGTACTAAAAATTTGCCTTTTATTTTATTTTACTTCTAAGACTCTGACATATCTTACTGCATCATGAAACTATTAGCCACTGGAATAAAGATGCTAGCAGTTTGTGATTGGTGTTAAATCTTTGATAAATGAATGAGCTACATCTATTTTCTGTTTTTTTTTTCCATTAAGAGCGTGGTACTTTTAGTGAATATTTAGCATGTTGCTAATAGTTAATAACCCTTTTCTTTGTCACATATTGTAATATTTGTCAGCATTATACAAAAAAAAAAAAAGAAAAGCTAATACTAATAAAGTATCAAGAGAATACTTAGGAATAAAAAGTGATGAACATTGGGACCAGCAGATGGAGTAATTGTTACGTCGCTGGGCTCCCACATAGTTAACTGCAGTTCCAGTCCCAGACCTAGCTGCTTAAAACTCACACCAGGTGTGTGCGTGCGCGTGGGTGTGTGCATGCCCAAAATCCCAAGAGGAGACTGGAGGAGAAGGGATTGTGGTGTGGCTTTCTGTCTCTCTGATGAGTGCATGTGCTCTATAGCAAAAATCTCTCTTAAAAAAAAAAAGTGATAAACATTACTGTTTTGCCCACTAGGATCTTTTCATGTGATTTAAAAATGGGAGGATATGTTAGAAACAACCTATGTAGATACCACTCATTTTTTCTTTCGTAGTGTATTTGAGTTGTAGTTGGTAAAGTAGTGAAGGTTATGATTTAAACTAACTGTTTAGGTTTGTAGATCAGTTTAGATCTGAAATGCCACTTGAAAGAGCAGGAGTTTTGTGATTTGAATTTTAATAAGACTGATTGAAGTATTTTGTTCTTGTTTTTTGTCTCCTCCTTGCCCTAATTTAGATTTTATAGGATCACATTAAAAAAGCACCATGGAGTTTTATGAGTCAACATATTTTATTGTCCTTATTCCTTCAGTAGTTATTACAGTAATTTTCCTTTTCTTCTGGCTTTTCATGAAAGAAACATTATATGATGAAGTTCTTGCTAAACAGAAAAGAGAACAAAAGCTTATTCCTACTAAAACAGATAAAAAGAAGGCAGAAAAGAAAAAGAATAAAAAGAAAGAAATCCAGAATGGGAACCTTCATGAATCTGATTCCGAGAATATACCTCGAGACTTTAAATTATCTGATGCTTTGGCTGTAGAAGATGAGCAGGTTGTACCCGTTCCATTGAATGTGGTTGAAACCTCAAGTAATGTTCGGGAAAGAAAGAAGAAGGAAAAGAAACAAAAATCTGTACTTGAAGAGCAGGTCATCAAAGAAAGTGATGTATCACCGACTCCTGGCAAGAAAGTAGAACCTGTCCCAGTTACTAAGCAGCCCACCCCACCCTCTGAAGCATCTGCCTCGAAGAAGAAACCAGGGCAGAAGAAATCTAAAAATGGAAGCGGTATTGCAATCTATTTAATCTATTTATTGTATGATTGTATTTGTCTTAATAACTTTAGAGCTTTGAAACTCAGATACTTCGTTAGATGTGACACAGAGTGTTAAATACTGACTTGAAGCCAAGGTGATTATTCTATTTTGCTGTGTGTTTGCTTTGAATAGCAGTAATTGCTGATAGAAATGACTATTGGTCATAAAGTAGCATAAGAACTAAATTTCATAATATAAATATGAGAAAGACCTTTCATAGAAATCTATAAAATCCATTTGGCTATTTTACTAAAACCACTGAGAACCTGTAAATATCAGCAATTAGGAACTTCCACATTTATTTTAACCAACACTCTCATTCATATAATAAGAATTAAAGGTGAAAAGAAAAATTGGATATCATTTCTTACCCTTGAGTGATTTATTTTGCAAATATTTGTCATATACTTGTTTTATGTTAGGTGTTATACTAGGGCTGCAGAAATGAGTAGTGCATTTTCAAGATAGTCACGTTTTCAAGATAGCTGTAGACCCAAACACAAATAAGTTATTATAATACAAAAAGTTTAGTATGATGAGCTAAGTATTACAGATCAGCATAAGAACTCTTAGGGAGGCCAATTAGGACACATAATGCTGGAAATTAATCTTCATGTTTTTAAGTGTTAGACATTTTGTGTGGATGGAGAGGGGTGAGACAATATTCAAGGGAGAGGGCTTAATAGGTATGGAAGAGACTTGAGAAATGTTGTGGTGATATGTAAAATTATAGTTTGCTTTGTAGGAAAGGACTTGCAAGTTTTAGTAAGTGGTTTGTGTAGCTTAGGTTGTGGAGTGTTAAATTGGTTTTACGTACCTTCAGTATTTGCTTGCCACCTATAATAAAAGAGTGGTACTAGGGAAATAAGAGTGAGCACCATACATTTTAGAGGGACAGTAAGATGTGTAAACCAGTAACAAAGAATGGTTCATGTAGGAGATGTACACAGTATAAAAGAAATATAGAAGCCAAAGCGACTGCTAGTTACAGGGACTGGGGGTGAAAGGCTTTAGAGAGATGGCAGTGCATGAAGTGATATTGAAGACTGATCGCTTCACCAAGCAAATAGTATTGTCTCATTGTGCACTGGCAGAATATTATATATAAGGGCCCAGAGATACAAGAGCAGAGTTAGTGCATTGTGGAGCCATGAAATGTGAGGGAGGGCATGGCAGAGAACAAAGTTGGAAAACAACACTGGCTAGCTCATGAGAATTTTTGTATACAGTGCAAAGAAGCTGATACTTCTTAGGTTATCTTTGTTGGAGATTTTTAAACAGGTTAATTGCATGGTGAAATTTATATTTTACAAAAACTTATTTGGCATACCTTAAGGGAACAAATTTTATGGGGTAGTATTTGATGTAGGGAGACTAATTGAGAGGTTCTTGTAGTTTTCCAAAGATAAGGTGTAGATTTGAAAGATGGTAGTGAGAGAAGAAGTAGAAAGTAGAGAGGTATACAAAGTAATAACGACGTGATTAAGTTCATCATACAGAGGTATGGCAGATAAGGGAGAAAATAGGATCACACCTGACCTCCCAAGTCGTAAGTTAGGTCTGTGTTGACAGACAGACTACAAGCAGTGAGCCGTATCTGGTCCATTTCCTGCTGCTTACGACCCACAGGTCAAGAGTGGTTTTTACATTTTAGGTGGTTGAGAGGTAAATGAAAAGAGTGATATTTTGAGAAACTACAGTATCTGTAAAGTGTTTTTGAATGCAGCTGCACTCATTTATTTACATACATCTATTAACTGTTTTTGACTCTGCGATAGCAGTAGACTTGAATATTTGTGATAGAATTCAGATGATCTATATAGTCTTCACTGTCTGATTCTTTATGGAAAAAGTTTGCTAACCCCTGATTAGTAGATGGTTTGTAGCACTAAGCTGGGAAATACTAGAATCTGGACAGGAGAACACTTGGAGTCTGTGTTTTAGGTGACTATGGGGTCATCTACAGTAGAGAGCAATTCAGGGTGCAGTAGGTGTACAAGTGCAGAGGGTGAAGGCTGCAGTACTGCAGTATAGATTCAGAAGCCTTAAGCATGAAGTAGTAGAATTCAGGGGTAAAGATAAGATTATCCAAGGAAATATTTAAATTGAAGATATAACCCTGAGGAATTTCAGCATATAATGTATTGAGTAGAAGGAGACACAAAGGAGACTGTAAGGAATATTTCAAGTTAAGAGAATTGTAGGTGCTAATATAATTAGTTTATGTATTTTCATTATGATATATATATATATATATAT